CAAACTGAGGATTAATATGCATTTCATCAAATTACTGTTCATTACCATTATCGGATATTCTCCCAATCGTCCCTCCGGATGACCACCTGAAAGCAAAAATTTGTGAAAAAATTATACTAGCCAATCGTCTACCCAATTGACCGGTAGTTTGACGAAACTCCAAAACTCTCTGTTGAATCACTTAAAGGAAGCTTTTATTCAAATTTTTATTTAAATTTAGTGAAAAAATTGATGCACCGTTGGAGATACTCTTAGCATTGTCCGCATTTAATATCTTTTTTACAGGAACTTTTTTAAACTCATTAAAAATAAGCTAAATTTTATTTTTTATTTTTTTATAACCTCAACTTTTCTTTGAAAAATATATTGACAGATTTTACATAAGTGTGTCAAATAATGATATATTTAATTTTAATTTTTTTAATTCTTATTTTTAGATTTAAGTTACAATGTTACAACAAATTGGTAGACAAGACATTCACTTCTCATTCGTTCGGGGCAACCTTTCCTAAAGCCGGTCATTTTAAGACAAACAAAAATTGCTAGCAATAAATTCCCAGGGCTTAAAAACTCTTTACATGATCAAATCACAAAGAATAGGAAGTCTTCTCGCACTAAGACCTCGTTTGGGAACCTTTCATTTTAGCTAAAAAGTTAAAAAGTCAAAAAGTTACTAAATTAGTCAAAAAGCCAACAACCCATACCAAAAAGTCAAAGATTCTCTTTTCTTTCTACTTTTTGTACATTTTTTCGTAAAAAGTCAAAAAGTCATCCCAAACATACTAGTTTTTTTTAACTCATATTTTAGCTAAATAGCCAAAAAATTATTAAATTAGCCTGTTCCCAAACGAGACCTAATTCTCCATGTTAGGCCAAGTTTGGGAACACCCCAAAAAGCCAAAAAGTCAAAAAGTTACTCAAAAAGTTAAAAAGTTATCACTATTCACCAAAAGTCAACAATTACGGCTGCACAACTCCCAATTCTAATTTTCTCCTACAAATCAATTTTTACAATTTTTTATTACACATTTTTCCATAAAAAGTCAAAAAGTTAACCCAAACATTCATATTTTCAACCTCAACTTTTTAGTCTAAAAAGACAAAAAGTACACTTATTTAGTCTTTCCAAACGAGACCCAACTGTGTTTTTGAGTACGTATGAGAGAGTTACTACATTTTTCTTTTAACTAAGGTAATAAATTACTTCAATACCAACTCTCAAAGGAAGTACAAAAAGGAGAGGATTCGATGTGTATTTACATCATTTACATTACAAGGTTATAATGAATATTTTCATTTGAATGGATAGGATTGCAACATATAATTTAGGCCTATTTTGGAAAGCAAGAAAAAAAAAATTGAAAAAATGTATAAAAAAATATAGAGATGATATGATTCAAACAAGTCAATAAATCAATAAACTAACTTTTTTCTTAGTTGTCAAAATATCTTAAAATCAATGGTCTACAATCTTAAATTTAATTTTAAAAAAACAATGATATCTTTCCTAATTTTAGAGCTTTAATTGAACTATAATGATATGACAGGAAAAAAAATTAAGACTAAAACATTGCATCATAATAAAATCCATTTAATTAGAACTCCCTAAAACTCTTTTATTAGAGTTCTCGGTCTTTTTTTATTTTAAAATCCACCTGAACTTGTTTTGATTGAGGAATAAAGATATGACAATTTGAGTCTCACTATTATTAATTATAAAATGTACGGTTCTACTTTATCCATATAACAAAGACTATCCAAGTATGGGATCATCTTCTTATGCTAAAATAGTCATAAAAAATTAAATTAACTTCTTAATTCAATAAAATAAAACATCACATTCAAATAATAATTATTTTATTTTTTATTCCACAAAAGTTAAAAAAATTAAAAAAATTAATTCCAAACGAGACTTTTTAACCTCAGATTAAATAACTAAAAAGTGAACCAACATCCCAAACAAAGGCTTATGATAAGCTAATAACTAGTTCCAATTAAAAAAAAAAAAACACAAGTAAGGTAATAACTATAATACATCAATAAAGATACCATTCAAAAAAATGTACGCAAATAATGTATAATTTTGATTTATTAAATGCAGACTTCATCATTCAAAAGTTAAATTCAAATTAAATTGCACATTATTTTTTGATTAATTTATAAACACAAATTCTTTAATTGTTTATAGTTTTTATATTTTTGAGAGTCTGTATTAGTTTGTTTTGTCAACTTTTACTTATAATTTATTAAATAAAAATATTTAAATAAATTAAAAAAATTAATTGTTTAAAAAATTGATAAAATATATTTTTTCAGTACAACTGACAACGAACCAAGTATATTAATGAGTTTAAAATTATGTTTAAATTTGATTTATTTACATAACGAGTCAACTTTAAAAGAATTTTTAACGAGCAAAATATGAATTAAGTTTGAATAATTTAATTGTTTATAATGCAATAAGCTCATCTAGTAGAGTAATAAGTTATTCAAACTTAATTTATTTATATAACGAGTCGCTCTTAAACGGATTTTCTTTTCTTTGAAAAATATATTGACAGATTTTACATAAGTGTGTCAAATAATGATATATTTAATTTTAATTTTTTTAATTCTTATTTTTAGTTTTAAGTTACAATGTTACAACAAATTGGTAGACAAGACATTCACTTCTCATTCGTTCGGGGCAACCTTTCCTATAGCCGGTCATTTTGAGACAAACAAAAATTGCTAGCAATAAATTCCCAGGGCTTAAAAACTCTTTACATGATCAAATCACAAAGAATAGGAAGCCTTCTCGCACTAATTCTCCATGTAAGTGTGTTTTTGAGTACGTAAATGAGAGAGTTACTACATTTTTCTTTTAACTAAGGTAATAAATTACTTCAATACCAACTCTCAAAGGAAGTACAAAAAGGAGAGGATTCGATGTGTATTTACATCATTTACATTACAAGGTTATAATGAATATTTTCATTTGAATGGATAGGATTGCAACATATAATTTAGGCCTATTTTGGAAAGCAAGAAAAAAAAAATTGAAAAAATGTATAAAAAAATATAGAGATGATATGATTCAAACAAGTCAATAAATCAATAAACTAACTTTTTTCTTAGTTGTCAAAATATCTTAAAATCAATGGTCTACAATCTTAAATTTAATTTTAAAAAAACAATGATATCTTTCCTAATTTTAGAGCTTTAATTGAACTATAATGATATGACAGGAAAAAAAATTAAGACTAAAACATTGCATCATAATAAAATCCATTTAATTAGAACTCCCTAAAACTCTTTTATTAGAGTTCTCGGTCTTTTTTTATTTTAAAATCCACCTGAACTTGTTTTGATTGAGGAATAAAGATATGACAATTTGAGTCTCACTATTATTAATTATAAAATGTACGGTTCTACTTTATCCATATAACAAAGACTATCCAAGTATGGGATCATCTTCTTATGCTAAAATAGTCATAAAAAATTAAATTAACTTCTTAATTCAATAAAATAAAACATCACATTCAAATAATAATTATTTTATTTTTTATTCCACAAAAGTTAAAAAAGTTAAAAAAATCTATTCCAAACGAGACTTTTTAACCTCAGATTAAATAACCAAAAAGTCAACCAACATCCCAAACAAAGGCTTATGATAAGCTAATAACTAGTTCCAATTAAAAAAAAAAAACACACGTAAGGTAATAACTATAATACATCAATAAAGATACCATTCAAAAAAATGTACGCAAATAATGTATAATTTTGATTTATTAAATGCAGACTTCATCATTCAAAAGTTAAATTCAAATTAAATTGCACATTATTTTTTGATTAATTTATAAACACAAATTCTTTAATTGTTTATAGTTTTTATATTTTTGAGAGTCTGTATTAGTTTGTTTTGTCAACTTTTACTTATAATTTATTAAATAAAAATATTTAAATAAATTAAAAAAATTAATTGTTTAAAAAATTGATAAAATATATTTTTTCAGTACAACTGACAACGAACCAAGTATATTAATGAGTTTAAAATTATGTTTAAATTTGATTTATTTACATAACGAGTCAACTTTAAAAGAATTTTTAACGAGCAAAATATGAATTAAGTTTGAATAATTTAATTGTTTATAATGCAATAAGCTCATCTAGTAGAGTAATAAGTTATTCAAACTTGATTTATTTATATAACGAGTCGCTCTTAAACGGATTTTTATTGAGTTGAACAGGAGGTAAGGCTTTGTTTGGCATGATTTAAAAAAGTCAAAAAGTTAAAAAGTTACTATCATCATTTTATTTAAATCACATCACCTCTCTAACACATCACTTCAAACCCAACCTATACCCAACTCATATTTCGTAAAAAATCAAAAGTATACTTATTTAGATCATCCCAAACTACTCCTAAATTTAAATAACTTGGTTTGTTTTTAGTGATTTAAAAAAAAAAATTTGAAAAAACTTTGGATTTCTAAATTATATTTGACGAGACAAATCAAAAAATTGTTTTGAAAAAAAACTTTAAAATGACAAAAATAAGTTAAGAAAATACTTAAATATTTGTTGAAAATTTAGATTTTTTTTTTAACACAAAACAGATTGAAAGAATTAAAATTTAAAAAAAAAAAAAATCACTAGAAAAAAAAGAGAAAATCAGTTTAAAAAAAAAAAAGGCATTTTTGCTAATATATTTTGTTTTCTTCTAATAATCGCTAGCAGCCATTTAACAACGTAATGCGTTGTTAAGCGCTCAAACTCTTTAAATGACGCGTAGAAAGGCCAAAAATAAGTTAAGAAAATACATAAATATTTGTTGAAAATTTAGATTTTTTTTTTTTTTTTAACACAAAACAGATTGAAAGAATTAAAAATTTTAAAAAAAAAATCACTAGAAAAAAAAAGAGAAAATCAGTTTAAAAAAAAAAGGCATTTTTGCTAATATATTTTGTTTTCTTCTAATAATCGCTAGCAGCCATTTAACAACGTAATGCGTTGTTAAGCGCTCAAACTCTTTAAATGACGCGTAGAAAGGCATCTCCCTCATTGAAAGCCAGCACAGCTCCTCAACAGCAATGGATGCTTCTAGGGTTTCTTGAGAGATTGAGTGAGCATCGTTTACATTCATCCCCAATCGACAACAACTTTGAACTAGTACTGAGAGACTAGCCTCCTAATTAGGGTTTCAAAATCTATGAATCATACACTTTAAATCGCATTCATTCATTGAGTGGGACTAATTGAAGCAGAGCGTTATATAAAAATGCTTCAATCAATTGACAGCTCATGAAGAAGGGACTGAAGGAATCGAAAAGTGTTTCTTGGGCTTCAGGGGCTAAGCTTTTTCAGGTAACAACACTCACATTATCTTCCATGGTTCGTGATTTTGATTTGTTCATTGCGAGGTCGTAATGGTTCACTGAAACTTGAGAGTAAAAAAAGTTCTCTCTCTCTTTCTCTCTCTACTTGGAGATTTGTTCACTCACCACTAGTGTTTGCCTTTTGGTTAGAGAGTAAACTAAATTCAATTAGTTCTTTCTGGCCTCTCTCTGTTTTTTTTTGTATATACCTGAATTGATCGATTTGTTGTTTTGCCTTATCATTCTTCGTGATTTTTATATAATTCAACATTGTTTGGCTGCCAGGAAATGCATGGAAACGAAACTAGTTGATTCATATGTTTGTGTCTTTTTTACTAATTAAAAAAAAAAAAATTGAATAAATTGTACCTTAATTTGCTTTAGATTCGAACCATTCTGTTTTTTTATGTTGTATCTGGATTAGGTTGAGTTGGAAGGAGGTTTCCTTTTTTTATTTTTTTATTTTTTTTATTCCCCTTTCTTGTGCAAATGGGGAGTTTTGTGAATCAAAGTAGCTTTTCTTTTTAATTTAAAATTCCTTTTTATCTTTTAAAGTTTGGTTTCTATCAATAGTTACTCAGAAGCAACTTAAAATGAGAGCACAATTTTGGGTTCAAAATAGAACTCTAAAATTGAAATCTCATATGATTTTAGTTAAAGCCCTCAATGTTAAACAGAATGAACATCTGGAATACCAGAAACTTTATGAAGAATGCTTCTTCTTTCTAACATTTCTTGAATTGAATGACAAGGGCATGATACTAGGGATCGCTTTTGGTGGTAGTCTCTACCTATCTATGTAAGGGTCCAGATTCTCTCCAGTTGGAAGAAAGAATGGACCAAACAGTTTGATTCGGTGGGCCACTGGAGATCTCATGTCGATGATCTGAGTCATTCATTTTCTAAGTGTTTGTGTGTAGATTATCCATGAAAAAAATAAGATTGATATGATAATCATAGCCACATGATTTCATCAAATTTGTGTTACAAAAATAAACAACAAATATGATTTGAAAACAGACCATTGGATACAAATTTGATGAAATTGGCTACGATTACTGGATCAATTTGTTTTTTATTTTTTATTTTTATGGATGATCTACGCATAAACCGCTCATGTTATCAACGTGGACCATGTGTGGTGAGAGAGTACTGGACCCCAACAGTTTGCTTCGGTCAGCCCCACATAGAGCCCGCATTGATGATTTCAGCCATTCATTGTTTTGGTGTCTATGTATAGATCATTCATGAAAAAAGATTGATTGGCGAGGCTGTTGATTTGCATTAATCTGAATTTTATTGTCTATTGTGTTATCTAACATTGACCATCCACAAAATTATCAAAAGATAATTCACTTTGTTTGGTTGTTTTTTACACTCAGTTTTTTGAAAGTTTTAGAGTACTTGTTTGGTTATTCAGAAAACTAAACACACTTTTCAAAATAATATGCTGAGGCGAGAGACAATTTAAGGAGAGAGACACTATTCAAAATTCAAGTTTCCCTCCAATTTAAGGAGAGAATTTTTTTTAAGAAAAAAATTGTCACATCAAAAAATACTCTCATCTTAGTGTTATATATATATGTACATGCTATAGATGTATGAAAACATAATTTGATATGTAGCCATTTATGGGTACATATCTTACTATTAAATGTGTGACTTTATCATAAAATTTGCACTAATTTCAAAATCAAAAAACGTAATTTTTTTACAAATTGCCATTAAAAAAATCATAAGTAACTTACAACTTTTGCAACATGAAGTACAAAAAATTGAGACATCTTGTTATGCCAAGTTCAGACGATGTTACATATGTTTGTGTTAATGTTACGATATTGTGTGATAAAATAAATTTTCTGCATAACATTTATGAAAATTTAATTCTATGTAAGAATTTTTTAATGCCAATTTGGAATTTTTTTTTTACATTTTCTGTGGTTGAAATGAGTGGAATTTTATGATAAAGTCACACAGCTAATGGTACGATATGTACCCATAAATGACTACATACCAAATTATGTTTTTATACATATATAGCATGTACATATATATATATATATATATATATAAAACTAACATGGGAGTATTTTTTGATGTGACAAATTTTTTTTTTTCAAAATTGTCTCTCTCCTTAAATTGGAGGGAAACTTGAAATTGCAATGATGCATTTTTTTGAAAACCAAATAAAGATCCATTTTCAAAATAGAGTTTTCAAATCACTTTTTGGAAAAATAATTCAAAAAAATGGAACCAAACATAGTGATTAATACTATTAATGTGCAAATTTTAAGGTTGTATAATGCTCATCAAGAGTTTAATGTTAAAAACTGATAATATGTAACGGTTCTTAAGGTTGCCGAAATAAACTTCAATAATGCCATATATATGTTAAGTGCCATTAAAACTTGGGACTATGGGAGTCCTTGACTTTGGAATGAAGTTGTGCACTTCTCTGTATCAGAGAGAACAATTAGAAAAAGAAAGCTATTAAATGGTTATTTAATTGAAAAAAAAAGGAAGATTAAATGACTCTGTAGATGTTAATTTGCTATTGTGGTATATGACAACGACTGCAAACTGAAGTGTAAAGAATTATGACATAATTCATCCTAATTTTTCTTATGAGATTAACAATTACTGCCTATCTCATGATTATTTGAAACTCTTGTTTAATTTCAAATTTTAACATTTAATTTTCTCCTTCTTCTAATTTTAACAGCATATATTTTTAAATTCCTAGAATAGATTAGACCTCACTACTAGAAAAATAGAAATTCATTCATTTGAATAATTGAATAATACCACATAATAAAAGGTATAAGATGTTAAAAAATTGCTTCACACTTATAATGTCTACATTTGCAGCTAGAAAGTTGAAAGTGCTCATGAGTCATACGTGAAGCTTTGTCGGATAGTAATTAATTGAAGATTAAGATATTTGGTTTGATAAGTTTGGTTGAAGATTAAGATACAAGATAGAGGTTTCAGAAAATCAATTTGTTTTTGTTAAAATTTACCATCACCTACCACCAATTTACCATCACCTACCACCACCTACTCCTCACCTACTCCTCACCTACTACACTCACCTACTACACTCACCCTCTCCTATATAATGAGCCACTCACCATTTGTAATATACACAACAACATATCAATCAATCAATAATACAATTCTCTATTTCTCTTTATACATTAAATTTCTACAGTTTTTATGTACTAGAAATCTATCATGGCAGTTGCTTATCAAAAGAAAAAAAATAAATCATTCTTTAGTGATTGATTAAAAAATGTAAGAAAATGAAAAAAGACCTCCATATGGTATTTATTTGCCTTAGTGAATTTTCACACAACCATATACTTACATTAAGAATCAAAATAAAATACTTCGTTATCTTTTTGCATTGGTTGTGGATTTATTTACTAGGCATAATCAAGAGGATCTGCCGTGGTGTACTTATTGGGAAAAAAAAGATGTCCCTTGGTTTGTGTTATTTATTGATGACATAGTTTTAATTGACAAAATTAGAATGGGAGGAAATTAATGTTCCTTTGTCAGTTTTGACGCTGTCCATTGACTGCTCGTTAGAAAAGGGAACTAGGGAAGAAGCAAACTTTCTGGTAATGTTTTAAAATCAGACTGGATCGGGTGGTTTGTCTAGTTGACCCATTGATCGGTCTAGGTTTCATTCCAGATAAACCACCAAACCCGTTTTACATTGAAAACCAGTTTATGTTTGGAAATTAGTGATAACAACGGTTAAACTAGTTAACCGCTAACCACATCTGGTTTTTTTGAACGCAAACCTTAAATGTGCAAAGACTACTTGGATTTGCCTGCCAAGCATTGGAAAACTAAAAGTCACAGGGCTCGAACTAGCAACCCCAAGTATGGTAGTCTTGTGGAGCAAGCAGTCAAATCTAAATTGAACTTCGTCGCTCTTCTTTCTTTCCTTGCGAGCAGGAAGCACACCAGCAACATGCATTGCATGAGTCTACTATATTTTTTACTCTTGACTGGGTGGACAGTTGATTGGAAGAGAACATCGATTTGCCTGGCTAGCAAATTGGCAGCGCGCTTATCTTGTATGACAACACTATAGAGTGAGTGGCTCTTCTGGCGGGCAGATGTGTGACAACACTCCAGAGAAAGTGGCGCTTTCATGTAACATGCTATGGTCCGAACGCCCTTTATAACCACCATACCACGATCACATTTCATAAATATTTGGTATACATATTTTATTTATTACATTAATACATTATCTTTTAAACATTTAATTAATTTTTTTATAAACAATAAATATAAATATATATTTGTATTTTAAAATATAAAAATAATTTAAATCAATGTATCTTAATATTTATTTTTTATTTAACTCTAATTGTAATATATTTATGAGGTAATTAAAATGTCATGGGTCGATTAATGCTTACATTAATATTTACATTAATGTCATGGGTCGATTTCAGTTGATTCAACGGTTGAATCAATGACACTTAACCCAGTCCCTTCTCTGATTCAGTCAACGCTCCAGGTTTCAGATTATTGTTTTCAAGTAATGACTGTGCTCGTCATTATGGTGGGGGTCCTTTCTCTGATTTAGTCAACAGTCCGAGTTTCAGAACATTGCTTTCAAGTAATGATTGTGCTCGTCATAATGGTGGGATTGACGTGGTTGTTGGGTGCAATGGGCGCAGTGGAACTGTTATGGCAACTAGAGTCGTGGTTTTTCCAAAGCTTACGAATATGCATATTTTTTTGTAATATTTTAGAATCACATTTATTACGGGTTTAAAATGATTTTTGGCTGATTTTCTATATTTATTTAAACATGATCAAAGTATGTATTAAATTTTATACTATGTTTTTATAAGTAAAATTTTATTTATGAAAATTGCTTTACCACACAACTTTGTATACACAAAGTATATATTGGGCTTGTTTGGTGCAGTTTATTGTAAGTTAAAAGCTGATAATTAAAAA